TTTATTATAAAAACAAAAACTGTTCAAGACAACATTGGAGGCACCTGTGATTTCTTTTTCCTTTTAAAGAGAGGAGGTCCCAATATTAAATTTGAAAAACAAACAATTAAAAAAAATGTGTCTTCAGGGCCCCATCCCCCCGCTGACCTCCAGGGCCTCTAATTCCCGGAGAACAAAGTCAGACTTGCATGCCTGTGGGGTGTTGGAGTGGAGGCGGATGAGGCCACTTTGGAAGACTTTGGGCGTGTTCTGCTGCCCTCTGCTGGCCATGCAAATCCTCGGCTGGGCGTGGAGAGGAACTTGGAGGGAATGTTTGCCCCCGCCACCCCACTGGGGGGGGGGGTGTTGGTGGCAGGTCACAGTGACCTTTAGTTGCAGGAACATTGCACAGAGCTGGGTTCTGACCCATTTAAACTCTCCTGACCTAAATCGAGCCAATTTTACAAGTAAGCATTGTCCCTCCTTGGGGTGAGCCTTGGATGAGGGATGGTGGGAGGAAGACAATGATACCTGAGATGAAGGGAAGGCAGGAGAGATGACCCTCTGTGGGCCTCCCAAGAGGAGGCTCCAGCACTTCCACCCTGGCCTGACGGCCCAAGCCCTTCCTCAGTTCTCACCTTTGTGCCTGTTACCTTGGCCTTAGCTACTTAGCTCCTGAACATCCATGCAGAGGAAAGGAGGCCCCTTGCCAGCTGCTAAGGCACCCCCACCCACCTCCACACTCACACCTTCCTCAGGGGGTTGTTTGTCACAGATCTTTGCAAAGAGGAGAAGAAACCAGCACTGACTGTCGAAGGCTCCCTGGGCACTCAGTAGCCCTTCGTGGCCCAGTTCATCCTTGGCACCCCAGCCTCTGCCCAGGCCTCTCTGCGCCTGCAGTGCCTGCTACTGGTTCTGCTCCAATGAAACATCCACAGATAAGGCTAGGCTGGGGGAGGTCCTGCATGTACCACAGTGGCCTTTGAGGAACGTTCAGGTGGGGGTGGAGGGCGGGGACATACCCCAGGTTGGTGCAGGGGTAGGAGGTAAGAGGGGCTGCAGAAGGGCGGCCTGGGCACCTGCACTGAAGAACCCGTTGCTCACAGCCAAGGGGCAGCTCCTGGATGTTCTCACAAACCTTCATGCTTCTACATAATCAATCTCAGCCGCAGCTTTTCCTACCTTTTAGCTCCTCTTGGCACCCAACATTGCGCAGCACATGGTAGGAAGTCACCACTCTGGCCCTCAGCATCTGCCCAGTCCCTGGCGCCTGGAGGCCCCCAGGCTGTGGAATGGAGGATTGATGGGTGGGGCCCAAGAGCCTGGGTCTGGGCAGGAAGATGCTTTCTTGGGCAAAAGAAGCAAGCTCTAGATGTGGAGAAGCTGGCCCTGTCCTTTTTCCAGGAGGCTGATCGCCCAGCCTTCTCTGTGCTCACCCCATGTTTATTGGGGGACACAGTTGAGAAAACTCAACAAAGCCTCCCAGGCCTCACCCATCTCCCTTGCTCACACCACACTGAGTCTTTCCGGTGGGGCCACCAGGCTGGGCCTCCCTGGCAGCAGCTGGAAACCCCACCCAGCCACTCCCACTCTTCCCATCCCACCCTCCACTGAGCAAACGGCTCCCAGCCGTCCCACAGTGAGGAGCCCAGCTCTGCGTGGGACCCTGAGCCAGAGGGAAGTTCCCCACAAAGTTCTTGGCTCCGTGCCCCCTCCCAGAGCATCTGGCCCTTCTCCTAATCATGGGCTCTCTCCTCCACCCATAGACAGCACCATCTCCCCACCTAGCTTCAGACCACTGCACACTCTTATTTGAAGGGAACTTGGAGACCACAGGCCCAAAGAGCCCCTCCTGGCACGGCAGTCTAGCCCAACACTCACAGACCCTACACCCAGTGCACTCACTGGCTGTGTGACTTTGGACAAGTTTCCTAACTTCTCTGAGCTTCATTTCCTCATCTTTGACATGGGGATTCTAACAGCATATTCTCATCCACTCCTCATGAGGATTAAGGGAATCAATGTCTGGACAGTGCTTTACAAAGGGCTCAGGTAAGGAATTGTTCTATCACAATTACCATTGCAGAATAACAAATGTGGTTAACTGGCTAGCAGACCTGCTGCTGACCAACCTGTGGTATTTGGCCCCAGGATCCTAGCGGATCCTGTTGCTGGGCACGTTGGCTGGGCCATGTCAACTTCCAATCCTGTGTCAGCCCTGCGGGGGCCACAAAAGAACTTTATCCCCAAGGAAAAGATAACATCACAGGCAAAATAAGACTAATTCGCAAAGCAACTGCTAAAAACTACAAGATATTAATAGCTTTAAAGTACTAAATTGTTCGGTGCAAGCTATAATTGTGTTAATAGTAAGAACCATTTGTAAGGCATTTGAGAGTTTACCTAGCACTTGGAAATATGTTATCTCATGTAATCCTCAAAGCAAACCAGCAAGGTGAGTACAGATGCTCCTCAACTTCTGATGGCTATGTCCCAATGAACGCTTTGTAAGCTGGAAATACCCTAAGTTGAAAATGCATTTAATACTCCTAACCCACCGAACACAATAGCCTAGCCTAGCCCACCTTAAACGTGCTCAGAACACTTGTATCAGCCTTCAGCTGGGCCACGTCATCTGTCAACACAGCCCACTGTCTAGTACCGGCTATTTACCTGGTGACCATGGGGCTGACTTCGCGGCCAGCATCACTGCATTATCACCAGCCTGGCAAAAGATCAAAACTCAACATTCAAAGCACTGTTTCCACTGAAAGCATATCACTGTCACACCAGCAGCAGCATAAAGTTGAAAAGTCCTAAGTGGAGGACCATCTGCATTGTTATTAGCAGATGAGGAAACCGAGGCTCAGAGAGATGAAATGGCTTGTTCGTGATCACAGCACCAGTAAGTGGATGACTCAGGAAAGACTCCAGCCTGATTCTAATTCCATCTGGTCCTAGGATCCTTGCTTTGTCCATTAAGTGGTGTGTGAGCGCTTATCAGTCAGCTAGGGCTGCCTTAACAGAGTGCTACAGACTGGATGGCTTAAACAACAGAAATTTATTTCCTCACAGCCCTGGAGGATGGAGGACCCAGATGGAGGGGCTGCCAGGGTTGGTTCCTTGGCCTGTAGACGCCTGCCTTCTCCCTCTGACTTCACACGGTCTTCCCTCAGCCCACATCCACGTGCATCCCAATTCCCTCTTCTTGTAAGAACCCCAGTCATACTGGATTAGGGCCTACCCTCAGACTTCATTTTAATTAAATTACCTTTTTAAAGTCCTTACCTCCAAAACTAGTTCTATTCAGACATACTGTCTGAATAGACAACTTAGGACTTAGGACTGCGAGAAGGTGGGGTGGAGAAGTTCTGCTTATTACACTACGTGTGCACTATAGGGCTGGGTGCTTCTCCAAGCTGCGCCTCACACCTGTCCTTCCTCCACGACTCCCTGTGGCCAGCGTGCCCTGCAGTTCGGGTTTCATGTCTGCCTGTGCTGTGCCCAGAGACTTTGTTCAGGGTCTCCCTCATGGGTGTGGCCTCTCAGAGCTTGGAAGGTCCCAGAACCATCCAGAGGGCAGGTGTTTCCCTGTACCTCGGCCCTGCCCTGAGCCCCTCAGAAATTTGGCAGCAAAGGACAAGGAGCCGCTGGCTTGGGCCTGCCCACCGCAGGCGGCAGTGACCTTTACCGACCTGGATAGTAGGGCTGCAGTAGCCCCAGGTGGGTACAGAGAAGCACAGCCACGCTCCCACACCCACCCAAGAAAGAGAAAGAGCAGGAGGACCCAGAGCAGGGCAAGGCCTGGGAAGGATGGAGAGAGGCAGGCAGCAGAGTGAGCCCATGAGCACGTGACTAGCATCCTATGACTGTGTGATGACAGCTATACCCCGAACTGGGGGCCACATGCCTGGGTTGAGGGCCCAGCCACTGTGCTCCCAGTGGTGCCCCCCTGGCGAGTTTCTGTACCACGCAGAGCCTCAGTTTCATCACCTGTAAAATGGGGAAAACAGTAGCACCTACTTCACAGGTTGTCAGGATTCAGTGAGCTAACTTTTGTACCGTATCACATGGCACGCAGTAGGTGTTATCAGGGCTGCATTATGACTTTGGTAGGCCCTGGCCACTTTTGCTTTCCTGGGCCTCTTCCTCTATAAAAAATATTTAGGTGGCCGGGGGTCTCAGCAGCTGGGGGGGGGGAGCGACGGCTGCAGCCCCCAGACACCCGCAGGCGCCCTCCCCGCTGCCAAGCCGCCTAAGAGGAAGGTCGGCTCTGCTGAAGGCACCCTGAAGGAAGAGACCTAGAGGAGATCCGCGCTGCTGTCAGCTAAACCTGCTCCTGCGAAAGTGGAAACGAAGCCCAAAAAGGCAGCAGCAAAGGATAAATCTTCAGCCAAAAAAGTGCAACCAAAAGAGAAAAGGGGAGCAAAGGGAAAACAGGCCGAAGTGGCTAACCAAGAAACTAAAACTGAGGAGAGTCCAGCCTCTGATGAAGCAGGAGAGAAAGAAGTCAAGTCTGATTAATATCATATACCATGTCTTACCAGTGGTCCCTGTCTCCCTTCTTGTACAATGCAGACGAATATTTTTATCAACTATTTTGTAAATGCAAGTTTTTTAGTAGCTCTAGAAACATTTTTAAGACGAAGGGAATCCCACCTCATCCTATTTTTTAAGTGTAAATGCTTTTTTTTAAGAGGTGAAATCATTCGCTGGTTGTTTATTTTTTGGTACAACCAGAAAATAGTGTGGGATATTGAATTATGGGAGGCTTTGACTGTCTTGGGAGTCAGCTTAACATTCCATAGATGGGGGTTAGTTTTTATATAATATAAAGCATACTAAATGGCAATATGGAGTCCCAGGCCTGCATTAATGTCTTGAACATTTTAAATTACTTCTATTCCCATGTTGTTTTTTAGTAGACTTGTTTCCTAAAGAAAACCACTCCTTGATCATGGCTGTCTCTGTCAGAATTGCGTATATTCTGTAACATCTTTGGTCATGGTAGTCCTGTTTCCCTAATAACTTTGTTAATGTGCTGTGAAAGATTGAAAATTTGAGTATGTAGTATATATGATAATAAATTGTGAATTGGTGGGACTTATGTAACAGCTTATCAACATTTGAAGATACTGGTACTTGATATCCTCCTAAGGAAAATTTGTCTCCAAATTTTAAGCTGGAAAATCACTGGAATAACTGTTTTAAAAAGAATGAAAATAAATGGCTTTTTAGATTTTCGGTATGTATGTTAAGAATTGTGTACAAATTGAAATGTCTGTACTGATCTTCAACACAACCAATAGAATCTCAATTACAAAAAAAATATTAAAAATTTTATTGTACAATTGTGTTGGTAGAGAGATGAATGTAATCCAAGCTGGATTATATTCATTGTTTTCTTTCAGTTTTAAAAGAAATTAAGACATTTCCATGGGCCTCTGACAATATGGTAACCCTAAGCACTGAGCCTCTCATACCTAACAGGTAAGTGGCCCCAGGGCCTCCATCAGTGTCTGCTACTGTGGATATTAAAGTGTCTCAGAAACTGTCAAGAGCCATGGCCTGTAAGGAGTCAGTCATTCCTTCCATCTTGCTGCAGGTCCAGCATCTTCCCCTTCCCTCTTGGTACTGAATGTTATGCCTCAGTGGTGAGTTTTCAAGCAGAGGTGCCCTCAGACCTCTCCCTCCGGTCTCTGGGCACCACAAAGATGCAGGGCTGGCATGTTCTGATGGGGACAGCCAGGCAGAGATCAGCCCTGCGTGACCAGTGTCTTTAGACCTCAGGGCAGGGGAAGGGAGCTCTGGAAGCCAGGCCCACTGGGGCATTTCACAGCAGCCCTTAGGGTGGGCAACAGCACCTCCCTATGCCTGCCTCTCCGCCCCCACCTTCTAGAGGGACCCCCAGGGTCCACAGCATGAGGTTTGTATTGACATTCATGTGTCTGGGTTTGCCTAAAACTCTCCTCACTCCACACAGGACTTGAACCCAGAAATATAAATAACCAGGTCTGCCAGTGTACTCGATATACGAGCAACAGGGCAACCCGGCTCAGTGTGCACATTGGTGCCCATGCTTTCCCACAGGGCCTCGAGCTGGTGATCCCACCCCTAGGGACACCACCACCACCAGGGCCACCTGCCCCTGTCTGCTCTGCCGGCCCCTCAAGGCTTGGCCCAGCTGGTGCAGCAGGTGGACACAGCACACACCACAGCATCACCACTCAGCAGCCACCAGGGCTGGGAAGGGATGTGCCCACAGGACGTGCAGTGTCTCCATCACACTGGACAAGCGCTTTATTCCAGGGGTTCGCAACACTTTAACAGGGTGCAAGCCTCTGATAAGGTGGACCGAGATCTCTGGATCTGGTCTGGGGGCCAGATCCACTAAGGCTCAGAGACTGTGAGCTGCAGGCTTACATTGAGGTGGTGAGCGGCCCCCGCCTTCACAGGGCTAGGGTCCTAAGCCCCTGGAGCTGCGGCTGATCCTGTGCCCAGGGCTCTTCATTTGCAGGCCCTGAAACTTCCACGTGCGGCATGGTTCAGCAGGGGGTGGGGGCACTTCCAGCAACCATCCGCAACCCCCCACCCAGCCTCCCTGGTGACCAGGCACAGCACTGCCAGGTCGGAGCCCAGAGCAGCCAAGGGACAGAGCAAAACCAGCTGGCTCCAGACCCACTGAGCCTCCCGAGAACCTTCTACTACAACTCTTAAGGGGAGTAGGTGCACAAGGCAGCTCAGAAGCTGCACCTCCCTGGGGCCTGAAGCCTAAGGGAAGCCAGACAGAGCCTGGCTATTCTGAGGAGTTCAGGCCATGACCCCTCCACCGCCGGCTCAGGTCCTCAATCGTGTCCCGAAGCATCAGCGTCCAGTCGTCGCCTCTCCTCATAGGGGTGCAGCGGGTCTCCTTGTGCTCCAGGGCTAGGATGTCTGCAGGAGTCTCAGGGGACAGTCCGGCAGCCAGGACAGCTTCCGGGAACTTGGCCGCAGAGGCCGGGGCCAGGCAGCACCGGGGAGCACTGCTGGGGATGAGGGGCAGGTGGGAGCAGGAGGGCAGTGAGAGAATGGACAGAAGGATGGGGAAGGGGAGGGTGGGAGAGGAAGGGAAGGAACAGAGGAAGGTGAGGGGCAGGGTGGGGCACAGAGGAGAGACATGAACAGACAACTGGCACGTTGAACCTATCTCTACGATACCTCTGCCTGGCAAACTGCCCCTCCAGGTTGGAGGCCACCTCTGTCACTGGCTGTCCCTTGGGTATCTGTCACACATCCTCCTCCGAGCCCACAGCCCACGGGCACAGTTCCACACACCACCCATCACACCCCATTAAAGCCATTTGTTCACATTCCTGTCTCCCCCACTTGGAGAAGAGGAGGGCCCCAAAAGTCAAAGGGTCCCCCCAGTCTGTACCTGGGCTGCTGCCTGTCCACCTGCTGGTAATGGCAGCTCACGGCCACGGCTGAGTGGGGGCACAGCAGGTACCGGTTCTCGGCCCAGCAGCGGGCCATGGTCTGGGTGATGGCCTCGTCTGACACTGACTCAGATGTCACTGCCTCTGAAAGCTGAAGGGCCCCGAGGTCAGAACGATGGGAATCGGGTTGGAGCAAGGCAGGGAAGACGACTAAAACCCCACATGGCCAGGCAGACACCAGGGACTCGAGTGCAATGCTCAGAACGGCTCAGATTCAGCTCACAGGTAAATCTGGTTTCCCAATTCCGACCTCATTCATTCAACTTGGAGGAAGGGTAAGTTTGAGTGTTAGGTCAATAAATTTAGTTGGGATTTGGCTCATGAATCAGCAACTCAGTATACAGTCTTATTCAGCAAGCTGATACGATCCAGAAGGCGAAGGACACTCACACATTTCCCGTGCTATGTTGTTTCGTGCCCCTTCCTGTGGGCGTGAGAACTTCCCTCAGCCCCCATCCAGCTCATGCGGCTCCCCCTCCAGGAAGTCTCCCTACTTCCTTCAGACAGATGAGGACTCCCTTCCCTGTGCTCCCTCGGTGTAGTTGGTTTATCTGATCATTCTCTGAAAATGCGCTGCGTGCTTATAATACACCAAACACCCTTGTAGATACTCCACGGCAAGAGACCACACGGTGTTATAAACTGTTCATACAGCTACCTGCCCCAGTAGGGTTCACAGTTGACAATGAATGTATTTAGTTTGTCTCTGTACCCACAATGCCTAGCACAGTTCCTGGCTCATAGAAGATATATAATTTGAATGAACGAATGAATGAATGGCATTTGAGCAAGTAAAGTGTCTCCTATGTGTACAGCTAGGGAGAGAATGAAGGAAGGAGTAGGGGACTGCCTGTCTTCATGGAGTGTCTCATTTATATGAGGAGAAGGAATGTTAATGTCAAAACAAACCACTAACCAAATAAACTGATCTTTGGTTGAAAGCAGCATAGATTCCAGAAGACAGGAATTCCACTCCAGTCTGCATGGGTACAGCTCAGCCTAGAGAACCGTATACAGTTTTGAGAACAACCCTTTAAGGTGGACATTGACCATGCAAAACTATGTCATGGAATGGACAGCTAAAGGAACTGAAAAGACTAAGTCAGTCAATCCAGATTCTCTTCAAATGTAGGGAAAACTTGGAAGTGGAATCAGACTCTGCAAGCCAGAAGGAGCAGATTCTAGCTCAACATAAAGACCTTTGTAATGGTTAGGCTGGTGTGAGGTAGTGAGGGCTGGCCACCGGAGGTATGCACAGTCTGGATGGCTACTCAGCGGGAATGTGGTAGAAAAAATTAAAAACAGCTTCAAAAATCCTATTTTGTTTACATAAAATAAGTGACCATCACCAGGTTGCATTAAAAGAAAAGCAATCCTTCCAACTAGACTCCTACCAGTCCAAGGAAACAGAATTTCTCCAAAGGAAGGAAGGAAGGAAAGAAAGAAAGAAAGGAAGGAAGGGTAGAAAGAAGAAAAAGTTCAACAGGAACAATAGTCTCTGTCATACTGGATGAGCAAAATGTCACTTTTATTGGAAATAAACAATAATAAATAAAAATAATAATCGTTAATGTACTAAGCCCTATATTACCAGGTGGTATGCAAAGTGCCTTGCATATATTATTTGACTAAACTCCCTCAAGAATTCTATGAGGTAGGCATTCTTATTATCCCCATTTTACAGATGAGGAAATTGAGGCACAGAGTTTAAGAAACTGGCCCAATATCTCACAGCTGGCTTGAGATTGAGTCCATCTGACTCTAAACCATGCTCTCTACTGTCTCTCCTCATCCAATAAATTATTCCACGTAAAGTGACTATGAAAATGCCCGGCTCACAGCAAGTGTTCAAGAAACAGGTGTCCCCTTCCCTTGGCCAGACTTCCAAACCCCGAGTCAGCTGTGTGGCTGCTCTCTTCCCTTTCTCTGTGGCGTATGGGTAGTAACTAACCTTGCTGTGCAGTTCCTGGGGCAGTTTCAGGCTTTGGGTCCTTTCAAACTGCTCCATGAGGACTCTCGTCACCTGGCTGTCAGAGCCGGAGAGCAGCCAGAAGATCCTTTCCATGTTGTATGGCACCTGGGCAGAAAGGCAGAATTTGGGGGCCCTCGCTGATCTCAGCCATTGTCCAGCTCCACCCAACAAACACCTAGGCCAGATCTGCACACCCCCCCACAGCCCCACCTGAATGTCCATAGCTGATGCCAAGGTTGGTTTGACAGCCTCGGACAGAGAAAAGTCTCCATGCTGGACGGTCCTGTGGATGATGTCATTGCGGTTCACTGCCACGACCAGGCGGATGGGCAGGCCCATCTTCTGAGCAATGCACCCAGCTTAAGACAAAAGGAAAACAATGTTTTTTTAGAAACAAAAACAAAAAGAAAAAAGTAAATTGGGCTTCATAAAATGAAGAAACTTTTGTGCTTTTGAAGCTTTTGTGCTTCAAAAAGGACACTATCAAGAAAGTAAAAAGGCAACTCACAGAATGAGAAAAATATTTGCAAATTATGTATCTGATAAGGGACTTGTACCCAGAATACATGAAGAACTCTTACAATTTAACACTAAAAATACAAATAAGCCAATTAAAAAATGGGCAAAGGATCGAAACAGACATTCCTTCAAAGAAGATATACAAACAGCCAATGAACACATGAAAAGACACTCAACATCATTAGTCATGAGGGAAACACACCGAAACCACAATGAGATACCATTTCACACACACTGGGATGGCTAGATCACAAAGATAATAAAAAGTGTTGGTGAGGATGTAAAGAAATTGGAAAATTCTCACATTGCTGGTGGTGACATAAAATGGCACAGCCACTTTGAAAAATAGTCCAGTAGTTCCTCAAAAATGTTAAACACAGGGTTACTATATGACCCAGCAATTCCACTCCTGGTCATATACCAAAAGAAATCAAAACATACATATGTCTACACAAAAACATATACACAAATATTCATAGCAGCATTACCCATAATAGCCAAAACGTTGAAACAATCCAAATGTCCATCAGCTAATAAACTGATAAATAAAATGTGGCATATCCATACAATAAGTACTGATATAATCTATAACATGGATGAACCTTGAAAAATCACTATGCAAAGTGAAAGAAGCCAGACCACATATTTTATGATTCTATTTATATAAAATGTCTAGAATAGGAAAACCTAGAGACAAAACAGATTGATGGTTGCCCATGGCTGGTGGGTAGAGTATTGTGAGGGGAAATGAGAAGTAACTCCTAAGGGGTACAGTCTCTTTTTAGGGTGATGCAAATGTTCTAAAATTGAGTGTGGCGATGGAAACACCATTGAATTTTACACTTTAAATGTGTGACTCTGCTTAGCATTGCAGAGTCAGTATTCAAAATACATCTAACTCCGGGGTGCATGCTCTTACCCCTGACCCAGGCCCCCAGAACCAGCGGCTTCAGATTGTTTCCTGCAGAGGCACCAAGGGAGGGCAGAATAGCACCCTCGATCCACCCTAACAGCAGTTCTTGTTTCCAAGGAACAAACAATGAATTCCTCCCCCCTGAGAGATGTAGAGCCCCAAAATGTCTTGTAGTTTTGGAAGGCTTTACATATGGTACTTTCATGAGCGATTTATCTCTGGTGAGTAGTCAACTGGACTTAGGGATAACCACACCACCCAGTATCGCTCTTAATTTTGAAAGCACTTTCTCATTCATATTACTCAATCCTCATGAAAATGATTGATATCTTTGTATAACAGAGACCAAAGGGAGGCTCAGGAGGGTCCAGGGGCTTAAAGTCAAACAGGTGGCTCCTGACTGAGCAGGGATAGGCAGGAACACCCTTGGCAAACGCTAGCTGTGTGTTTATTTTGGGCCAGGCGCAGGGACAGGCTCTGGGCCACAGAGGGCCACTGGCAGCATGACTCCAGGAAGTGTCACTAACTGGCAGATGGGAGCATAGTGGCCATGGGCAGTGAAGCAGCTGATCCATCCTTGCCTACGGCCAGCCCACTGCTCCTTCCACACCCTGGCTGGTGGCAGAAGTCAGGAAGATCCCTAACCACAGAGATGCTTCCGTGGTCTCACCTAGACCGTCCTTGGTGCCCATCAAAACAATGCCATTGGCAGACTGAGGAACAGTAATGCCCACTAGCCTAGCACGTGGTGAGGAGCAGGCTCCCCAGCCAGACTGCCTGGTTGCAGTCCTGGCTCTGCCACTGGCCAGCCATGTAACCAGGCCATGACGACGACCTCTCTGTGCCTCCGTTTCCTCATAATAAAATGGAAATGATACTTTTGTCCTCCTCACAGGTGCAAGTGAGGACTAAATGAGCTAATATAAAAAGCACTTAGAACAGTGTCAGCTGCATAGCTAAGTGCTTGATAAATGTTATTAGAGGAAATGATTTCAATGCCACACAGCTATGGAGCACTTCACCCTTCCAAAGTTCACATGCATATAAGAATCTTATTTGCTGCCCCCAGCAGTCCTGAGAGATATGATAAGTGATCCAGTCTCCTTTTTATAGCTGAGGAGTTGAGTCCAAAGGATGGTCCCACAGCAATTCCGCTAGTACAGCGCAGAAGTAGGGCCATAACCTGAAGTCCAGAACTCTTTCCACCTCACACGGTGTCTGGGAGGTGTGCCCAGGAGTGGGAACATGTGTGCCAGTCGAGCCACTCGCCCTCACTGCATAGCTGGCAGAGGCTGGGAGCAAAGTCCATATTTCTGATCCAGGGCACTGCCAACTGGACACAGCGACTGACCCCTGACCTTGACCCTCCACACTCTGCTGAGCCAGCAAGCATATCGGTTCAGGATGCTAGAACACGTCAGGGTTAACCTATCACTCCCCTGAGTAGCAAGGGCCCCCCAAAAGGTCAGGAGGGAAGTCTGCAGGGAGCTTCCTCTGTGTGGTTTCCCATCACCTCCTGAACTATGGCTCAATCTTCTTTCTCCTCACAGTTGCAGCTAAAGGGCAGCTGGAAGGACTGGGGCCACTGGCATTTTTAAGGAAAGCCGATTTGCGCCCCAGGGTCTCCTTACCTGCAAGGTTACCGGCAGCCCCCGTTGGCACAACCACCTCCACAGCGGGCAGGGGGCGTGTGTCCAAGGAGGATGCACACCGGAAGTAAGCAAAGAAGTGATGGGCCATTTGCACGAGGACCCGGGACCAGTTGATTGAATTCAGGCTCATCAAATGGTGCTTCTTGACAAAAGCCACGTCAGCAAACACGGCCTTGATCGGCTCATCGAGCTCGTCGCTGTTTCCCTCCACTGCCAGAGGAGAGAGGAGAGGGCGGCTGTCAGGAGAACGTGGGCCCCGAGCGGTCAGCACTGCCTCCAACGAGGCCTTCCCAGGTGAGCCCATCCTGGGACCTTCACACAGCCTTGCTTTCTTTACTGTCACATGACTTGGCCTGGCTTTCTAGACTTGATATTAAGCTCCTCAAGGACAGAAAACATGTCTCAGATTCCTGTGTTCTGCCCTAGCTTGGAGAGAACAGAAAATGTAGCCAGAACCAGTTCCAATGTTTCTACCATTATATAAAATAAAATATCAAACGTCAACCTTCTGGTATATTGGGGAAAGAATTCCTCGTTGGATTCCATGCCCACCTCCCCAACTCTTCCGCAAAGGAGGAAGAACTGTGTACCTGGCTGCGAGATGGGGAGAGGCTGAGCCTTCACTCCACAGTCCTCTATCAGGGCTCGGGGTGGAAGCAGTCACAGTTCCCCTGTGGTTTGCCCTCTGCCCTCGCTTAGATCACATGGGCGGGTGATCTGCTCTCTGCTCCTACGTGGCAAGTAAGCTTGCATGGGCAGAACTTCTCCTCCCTGAACCTAAGTGTGTACGTCAGCTTAATTTATCAGTGAATTATTGGGTAAATTTATGGGTGAACTGTCCACTGTTCCAAGTTATAGTCCCCAGTCTGGCTCAATCAGCAACCAATCCAATATTGGTTTCTTATCTGATACCACAGTCTATTTCTCCACTGGATCCATACTTGGAGGGGAGAGAGGTGAAACTTACGAGGGCCAAGTAGCACAGTACCAGCGAAGTACCAGAGTAGACATTAAGGTCATTAACCATTCTGCCCTTCAGCACTGTGCAGCAGCAACAAGGCTGGAGGACTGAGTCTAAAACCACATGCGAACCCGGAATGGCCTGAGCCAGTCGTGATGATCCTGTTACTTTGCCAGGACCAAGCCAATCAGTGCCTGATATTCCCACAGAGTTAGGGTTGACTGGGAGCCCAAACCATCTGCACACTTCCAGTTACAGAATCTGGAAAATATTCTTGTTTAAGCTGGTATGAGTTGGATTTTCTGTTACTTTTAGCCAAAAGATCCCAAATAATATAATCAATAATCAGTAAGTACCTACCACTTGCAGATTATTCTGTGCTTAAGAAGAACAAAGTATACAATGTACATGGAAATTAATGACTTTATAATCCCAATAAGTGTCCACACACAATAATCCAGGTGGTCCATCTTACTCCTTGGGCTCACCAAAATGCAGCCCAATATAGGCAATTACTAAGGCTGATGTGTAAGGTTTTGTCAACAACCGCATTAGCTAAACCATGGACATTTCCCCTGGAATGTGTATGCACTTGCTAAAGAACAGAGGGCAGGGGGCTTTTTGCTTGCTCTTAAATAAACCAACAAAGGATATTTATGGTTTTTTTTTGTTGTTGTTGTTGTTTAATAAAAGGTTTTTTTGTTGTTGTTGTTGTTTTTGCTGTCCTCCCAGGAGAGTGATCAAGCCAAGCCAAGTGGACAGCCTGCCCAAGGCTATAGTGTACAAACCACAACCAAGTCCCACCTTGCAGCTACCTGGGGTCTAGTGGGGTATGAGAAGTGGAAATAAAAATATACAGCTCCACCCATACTCACCTGGAGAGTCTCCACTCTCTATCCCCATAATTATTAAATCCATTTGGAATAGATAGCCTGATATTAAAGGAGATGGTTCCTGCCTTTCTCCAAACACAAAATGCAATGATTTTTATCATGTGGCTCAGGAAGGGCTATAACTAGTGATGGGTACCACTGAGTAGCCTCCTATTTTAAATACTTAGACCTGCTAACCAAGTGTGTGGCTTAGTTGTTCCTATACTATAAAGGAGTATGTGAATTGTAATAATATATTCTCTTAAAATAATTATTTAACATGTTGGTGGACTCTAAACTTCAGTGCCCTGGAACAAAACTTGGCTTGGGTTATGGCTCTGCATGGCTCCCTACATACATGATGCCAGCATGATGAACCTGCATGGAGGTGGCATTCTTTGGGGCATGGCTTTAAACCTGCACTTCCTATGTTGTACTGTTGATATTGGTTTATGCACCTGTTACTTCCAATAATTTATGAGACTGTGTAGCCAGAAGCCTGCCCAGAGCTAAGCCAAGGCATATATACCAATCTCAAAATATTACTGATGGAGGAGGGATGGTTAGCTAGTTAATCGAGCAGTTTCATCCCAGCCTATCTCCCAAAACAAACCCAACAAATGCAGGCCCATGCTGTCCCTTTGGCCTCTGCCTCAGCACCCACCTCCAAACACATGGACATTCTCCTTCAGCACTGTTGTCATCTGGAGCTCCTGAATCTTAGAGCAGTGACCTTTGGGCAGCAGAACGATGATGTCCACGTTCTTTGCCCCTTGAACACTCTCAATGGCAGCACTCCCTGTGTCCCCAGATGTTCCTGGATAGGAAGAAAATAGAACCCTCCCCTTTAGAACAAATGGGATGGGAAGGGGAACAAAAATGGCCCTTAAACATTGTTGCCAAAGGCGGCAACATCTATTTCAAATACCTTCAGGATAGGAACCTAGTACTTAACCTAGGGTCCATGGATCTATACACAAAAATTCAGAACGTCGATGAACTTGGTACCACATAATCTTAAGTATTCTGTACATTTAAAAATATTATTCTGAGAAAGATGCATCTGACTGAAAAGGGGCTCACAGCACAAGAAAATATGAAAAGGTTAGGAATCCTGCTCTAGAAGAGCCAATAACACAGTCCTTGAGCAGCTCAATGGAGAGTGTCCAATAGGAGGACACCCTACATTTGGGGCACTATCGGGCTCCTCGAGCACGCCCACAATACCCACCTACAACCACAGTGACGTGCTTCTCCCTCTTCCCCAGGAAGTACTGCAGAAACTGTGCTGTACAGCACAGGGACAGGTCCTTGAATGCATACGTGACCCCATGCCACAGCTCCAACACGTTCAGCCCATTCTTCAACCTAGACAGATGGACCACTTCTTTGTGGTGGAATCTGCTGAAGGCTCGGTCAATAAGATCTGTGAGGGTAGAGGGGATTGGACAGTAGATAAACAGCATGATGATCTCTTCTCTCAAGTTCTCTCTCAGTCTCTTGAACACTTTGGAATTTAAAGTTTCCTAGCTCTTGCTACCAGGTAAAAAGATCAGCAATTTTAATCTTAAATCATACCATTTATGAATATAATTGTATAAGCCTAGAAAAAAGTCTAGAAAGACAAGCACCAAACTTCATAGATTCCTCATAGTGATTTCCCCAGAAATCAGAATTGGTAATAAAAGACTTTCACTTTTCACTTTATACACTTCTTCACTGTTTGAATTTCTTGTGATCATGTATTCCAAGAGAGGGTCAATTAAATAGTTTTATAATAAATCAACATCTTATCTCCCCTAATTTTCCTTTCTAAAGATAGGAAGCTTTTGTTTGTTTGTTGCATTACTAAATCTCACACCTGTGATGCCAAAACTTTCCATGGTTGATATACAATTCTACCTAAATCAGGGAAGTCTAGAATAGAGCTTTCTCAAACTTTCATTGGCAAACCAAGCATTTGGGATCATGTTAAAAATGCAGAGTTAGGTTCAGCAGGTATGAGGGAACCTGAGGTTTCTAACAAGTCCCCAAGTAATGCCATCACTGCTGGCCACTGGACCACATTTTGAGAGATCCTTTCTCCTCCCCAACCCAAAACACCCACCATTAATTACATTATGGATTTATTCTTGCCACTCAAAGTGTGGTCCATGGACCAGCAGCACCAGTACTATCTGGAAACTTGACAGAAGTGCAGAATTCTCAGGCCCACAGCAGACTACTGAATCAGAATCTGCATTTTAACAAGATCCCCAGGGGAATTCATCTAGGCACATTACAGTTTAAGACAAGCGACTCCAGGACTCAAAGTCCTCCTGAAATTACCATTCAAGGAAATAAAATAGCAATCCGGGGGTTTGGGGGCTTTATATACAAGAAGGATATACCCCAACACCCAAGCCACTCAAGAATGACTGTGAACAATCTCTAGGCTGGAAGAAGTTTTGTTAAAAAAATAAAGGAAAAAATTTTCTGCAGATCATTTCAGCATTCATCTCTCTGGAGGTGGGAGCTGGAATAGATGAACTTTTTCAGGATACTTCCAATTCCGGGATTCTAGAGCCAGGGGGAAAAAAGAGTTTGGAAATATGCCCAGAGACTTTCTAGGGGCTGGGTGATGGATTTATAACTCTGCGAGGGCTGAGCTGGCAGAGGCTGGGGGAGTGGAAGCAGGAGCTGGAGTGCTCACCATTTAAGTCATCTCTTGGAATGAGCTCAGGCCCGATGAAGAGGGTGCACAGCTCCTTCACCAGGCCAGGATAGGAGAGCTTGCTCCACTGACACAGGGTCTCTTTGTCCAGCTGTGGGAGCTCCTCAGGCATGAAGAGGCCCCCATCTGATGCATAACCAGAGAAGAGGGCTCCCTCAAAGTTGACCCGTGGGGCCATGCCCCGGGTGCTGACATACCACATGATGCTGGAAGCCTGCAGGGGGGACAGTTCCAAAGACACCTGGTCTCCAAGTTCCCACATCCTATGATGTGAAGCTAAAGCCTGCACAACCCCCTCAGCTGGCCTCTGGACCACCATTCCAGACATGTCCTAGACCTGGAGACAAGAGCCCTGTCTCAATTCTCATGCCAGCGTCATCTGGGAGTGTGCAAATCGTGACCCCCTCCAATCCAAATGATGCAATTCCTCTGGCCTACTATCTTGAAGGAGAAGGTATTGGAGCATAGTGGGAAAAGAGAAAGCTTGGTCTTTACTGGCGATAAATGAGGCCTTGGGATGGGGAAAGAGCACAGCAATGGGCAACCACCATCATGACATCCCTCTTGATAAGGAGAAGACCAATATACCTGGCATACACCCCTTTGAGAGATATCTGGGACCACTTCTGCCCAAAAAATAACTGACTTTAATGGTTATTTAGGGACATTGCCTAAAACCTAGCAGTTCTCAACTCTGGTAGTTTATTGAAATCAATCTGGGAGCTTTAAAAAATATATACCTACCTGAGAGCCTACCTGGATCAATTAAGTTAGTCTCTAATGTAGAGGCTCCTCAAGTGAGTCTAATGTGCAGCCAGGGTTGAGAACAGAGTGACTCATTCAGCCCAGTTTGCCTGGGACTTTCCTGGTTCTAAACTGAAAGTTCCAAGTCCCAGAAATCCAGATGAACTAGGAATGACTGGTTATCTTAGTCAATAACTAGTGCCCTACCTCTCAGCCTAACCCTAAAAGGGAAGTTAGAAGCGCTGAGGGCAACCCTTAAAACCCTCTATCCATAGCTAACTGGTCCTGCTCAGACTCAGAGCTCTCTGGTTCTTTCAGTAGAGGGAGTCCCAGGGCACCCCAGGCCTAACCTTGGTCACATTCCCACATCAGTTAGGTTCCTAGGAACGAGGTGTCTTGTCAAGTTGCTGTGCTTGATGTCTCAACACCTTTCCCTGGGTCATAGTGGTGAATGTAGGTGAATGTAAAGGGATCTGGTTTTAAAGCCCCACAATAACCCTGGGGATGAATTTGACTAGACAGAGGTCTCAGTACCAGCTTGGACTCTTCTGTGCCAAGGCAGGAGGGGAGACTCTGCCCTCTGGGGGCAAAGCCACCTGAAGCTCTCCACCTACAAGTAGGGCATGAGCTAGCATTGAACTGGAGGCATTCTGGTTTTCTGGGCTGTGGCTATGACACCTGTGGGCCAGTGCAAGTCCTACATGGGCTGTCGCGAGCCACTTCCCTGCCCACAAATACAAGTGCATCCAATTTAGAGACAGAGACAAACTTAATCATCCAAACTATGACTCCTTTGAAAGTGAAAGGGGATACTGTCATTCTGGGACAATGGGTATAAGCCAGAACGCCCTCCCACAAACTGGGAAATACAGTCACCCTGTATCGGAGTCTATGTCAAAGAAATGAAATCAAGGTAACTCCAAAAGCCAACTGCAGGGGGTAAGCAAAGCAGGCACAGTATTTCACAAAACAGAACCAGGGGCAGGGGCAGGGGCAGGGGCTGGCAGTGCCTTCAATCAAGAGAGGAATTTCTGCAGTAAGAGTTAGAGCCAATGCAACTGCCCAAGACCCTGGAGTAACAGGAAGAAGGCTTTGCTAGGCCACTTCATGGGATCAGACTAAAGAAAATTGACTGAGCTGACAAAGAAACTGCTGCAAGAGTGAGGGCAAAGCACAGAAAAAGAAAGCATTTCTGGAATGCTCTTCCCAGGATGGTGGACCACATCGCATCTGAGGCACTGGAGGAGGGTGTGGACAAGCTGACCGGGAACAAAGTAGAGGGGTTGGCCCTGGCGCTGCACATGCCAGTGTAAGGAGCTAGCCTGATTAGCACACAGACTCATGGTCCTCACAGTAGCAGGGGCTGTCCCTGCTCTGTCCGGGGAGCTCCAGAAATAGCATTCCCAGGCCAAAAGAGCAAACCGATGGAGAAACACACTTTGTCTGGTTCAATGTAAGGTCAACAAAATAGAGAGGCCCAGAGGTAGGATTAGCTGCTCCAGGAGGTGGTGAAGTGGAGGAAGAAAATCCAGCACTTCTGTTGGACTACAAGTTGCATGAGGGGCCTAGACAGGGGCCTGGACTAAGTGACCTCTAGGGTTTAATATTATAATATTTTCCCCTTGTGACTCCTCTGGACCCTATTCCAGAGTGGAGACAGGTGGGAGAAGTCTCTGACCAATAACCAGGATAAAAAGGGAAACAGGGCACGTCGCCAGAAGGCTGTGGGTGGAAGTAGGGGAAGGGGACATTTGAGGAAGGGCTCCTCGGTGTGGCTCGGGAAGATGGAGAAATCTTCTGAGACTGGGTGGGCAGGGAGGAGACCTTCACGCCAGCGGCCAACTGCGCCCCTCGGGGTGGAGGCCGGGCCTGGACTCCAGTCTAAACCCGCAGCGGCCTCGCGGGAGCCTGAAGCTCCTCCACTCCCAGCCGCCGAACACACCGCGGCCTTCTCAGTTTCAGGGCCCTCCGAGACCGCCCCAACCCCGCGGAAGGCGCAAAGCATGAAGCCGGGTTCCTCCAAGTCCAGCGCCCGCACTACAGCTTCCAGGAACTGGCGGGACGGCCCACGCAGCCGCGCCAAGGTCCGGACCAAGCCTAGCCGCGGAGCTCCCAGAGCCGGGAAGCTCGGCAGCCGCGACCCCAGGAAGTCGTGGCCATACGGAAGGGCCGCGAGCGGTTACCTGGAGCGGGCGCTGGGCGCGGCGAGCGCGGGGCGTGGCGGGCCTGCCAGGCTGCGGACGTGCGCTCCAGGCGCAATCTGTGTGCGCCACCGCGGCGACAGCTCCACACTTCCCGCGAGACCCCGCTGGTGCGGGTTAAATGCCCGTAGCCGGGCGGATATCGCGGGAGTGAGGCGGAGGCGGAAGACAGGGCGGGGGAAGCGGGGAGAGGAGAGCGGGGAAAGCCAATGACAATGAGAAAGAAGCCCCTTTGCTTCTCCCTCCTGTTTTTCAGGCACTCTGCTAAAAACGCTTTATCCACATTCAGGCTGAGAATCTTCACTGCAGGGCTGTGAGTATCACAAAACCTCACTTTGCAGATGAGAAAAAGGAGGGCGAGATGGGAAGGAAAGTCCTGCCTCTCCCTGGGCTTCTTGCCTCTCTGCAACATGAGAGAGCTAGGCAAACGCCTTGGTTCTCAAACTGGGGCCAGTATGGCAGGAGCTCAGAACTCACGGGATATTCTTTATATTTTTTTAGAAACATTTTAATTAATGATAGATAATTAAAAGGGTAAAAGCCTGTCCTCCCTCCCCCATTCATTTTTAAGAGAAAAAGCAAGAACTTGAAAAACAAACTCAGAATGCCCAAATGCCCCCAGATTTACATACATCCTCCTGGGTCCCATCCCACTGAGCTGGCAGAGTTTGAGGAGCTGTCCTGGACAGGTGCGAGTGCAGGTTTAGTCCTGGCTCTGGGCTGGGCCTGGTGGTGGTAGCAATCCCAGCTTGGTCTCAGGCTGTGCTCTGGTTGCCTGTTTTCTCCATTTCTTCCTCCTATTTATGACATCCTCCTAAACCTGTGGTCTCTGCTTACTGAAGTTACCCACTGTCCAAACTCTGGATCACTTCTTGAGTTCCTGACTCTGTAACAAGGCGCAAATACATAGTCCCAAATTATCAAGCAAAAACTGACTTGCATAATTCCAACTGCCTTTTTCACAGAAAGGGACGAGCTGATCCTAAAATTCATGTGGAAGTGGAAGGAACCCAGAATAGCCAAAATAATCTTGACAAAGAACAAAAGTTGGAGGACTTATATTTCCCAATTTTAAAATCTGGTACAAAGCTATAGTAATCAAAATGGGTTGGTACTGGCATAAGGATAGACAAACGAATCAATGGAATAAAACTCATACAGGTACTGATTTTTGACAATGGTGTGAAGACCATGTAATGAGGAAAGAATAGTCGCTCAACAAATGATAATTGGACAATTGGACCTCCACATGTAATGAATGAATTTGGACCCCTGCCTCACACCATATGCAAAAATTAGTTCAAAATGGATCAAAGACCTGAATATAAGAACTAAAACTATAAAACTCTTAGAAAAAAACATGGGTTTAAATCTTTTGACTTTGGCACATTAGACAAAAGGGAAAATAGATAAATTGAACTTCATCAAAATTAAAACTTGTGCATCAAAGGACTCCATTAAGAAAGTGAAAAGAGGCCACACATGGTGGCTCACACCTGTAATCCTAGCTCTCTGGAAGGCCAAGGCGGGAGGATCACTTGAGCTCAGGAATTTGCAACCAGCCTGAGCAAGAGCAAGACTCTGTCTTTCAAAAAAAAAATAGAAAAAAATTAGCTGGGTGTGGTGGCACATGCCTGTAGTCCTAATTACTCAGAAGGCTGAGGCAGGAGGATCACTTGAGCCCAGAGTTTGAGGTTGCTGTGAGCTAGGTTGACGCCATGGCACTCTAACCCAAGCAACAGAGTGAGACTCTGTTTAAGAAAAAAAAAAAGTGAAAAGACAACCTAAAAAATGGGAGAAAATGGTTGCAAGTCATATATATGATAAGAGTCTAGTATCCAAAATATACAAAAAGCCGTTACAACTCAATAGTAAAAAGACAACCTAATTTTAAAATGAACAAAGGATTTAAATAGACAGTATCTCTAAAGAAGATATGAAAATGGTTAATAAGCACATAAAAAGATCCTCAACGTCATTAGTGATTAGGGAAATCCAAATCAAAACCACAATGCGATACCCCTTTGTATTTGCTAGGATGGTTAGAATCAAAAAGAGAGATAACAAGTGTTGTCAAGGATGTGGAGGAATTGGAACCAGATACATTATTGGTGGGATGTAAATTGGTGCAGTCACATTTATTTATTTTATTTATTTATTTATTTTTGGAGACAAGGTCTCATTCTATCACTCAGGCTGGAGTGCAGTGGTGCAATCATAGCTCACTAGAGCCTCCAACTCTTGGGCTAAAGGGAGCCTACTGTCTCAGAATCCCCAATAGCTAGGACTACATGCACACACCATCATACCAAGCTAATTTTGGAAACCTTTTCATAGAGATGGGTGTCTCTATGTTGCCCAGGATGGTCTTGAATGCCTGGTGTCAAGCGATCCTCCCAACAGCCTCCCAAAGTGCTGGGATTACAGGCATGAGCCACCATGCCTAGCTGGTGCAGCCACTTTGCAAAACTGTTTGGCAGTTCCTCAAAATGTTAAACATGGAATTACTATGTGACCCAGCAATTCCATTCCTAGGTACATACCCAAGAGAACTGAAAACATGTTCATACAAAATATTGTACATAAAGGTTTATAGCATCACTATTCGTAATAGACAAAAGGTGAAAATAACACAAATGTCCATAAACTGATAAATGGATAAACAAAATGTGGTGTATTCATACAATGGAATATGATTCAGCCATAAAAAGGAATGAAGTACTGGTACATGCTACAGCATGGATGAACCTTAAAAATATTATGTTAAGTGAAGGAAGCCTGACATAAA